CAATTGAGCGTGACATTGACATTTGAATTCGATGTTGCAAATTTGATGTCTTCTTTCGAGAATCTCTAAATGACACTTCTGGGTAATCTATTGAATACAAAAAGATCTCTCAAAAAGCCCTAGAAGTAGATGAAAAAGCGAAACATTTAACAAAATACTGCATTAAAAATGAATTGGCATACTATAAAAATAGTTGAAGTTGCTGCAAACAAATAATTAAAACTTAAGGTCTCTCAAAGTTTCCTCTAGATCTTTGAACATATTTTTGAAGTAAGCTGAACACAAACACCAAGCGAAGCTAAGCACCCTTAGCGATTTGTCAGGCACAGAAAACTCTAACATACTTCAAACAAGCTCCAAAAAATTGCGCATTCATCATAATTCAAAAAAGCTCATTCTCGAAACGCAACCAAGAAACACTTTTGAGAAAAGTGTTTTTTTTTTGCGTAAAATTTGAAATTAGATACTTGAATTATTTCAATTTGGACTAGTTTGGACTAGTATCATACACTCAGAGTTGATGAAGAGCTTAGCATCACTTGCGATACATCACAAACATAGCATGGCAAGCTACCAGACATGAAAGAAGAAACCACCTGAGAAAAAAATATCTATTGAAAAAAATAAGAATAGCCACTACCAAAATTTTTAAACGTGTCTGGATGATTGAAATTCGATTCGGAGGGAACATGCCTTCGAAATTGCCGGCTTAAAGTAGTATTCAGGCAAAATTTATCTAGCCGTAATTGAGCCAACAAAGCTTAGGTACCTGCCGCTGAGCATAGATCAAAGTTTTTGATATAAAAACTAAACTAGAAATCAAAGAAACTGCTAAATTCTTGCAGTGCCCCACGCTAAAGCACACAAGCATAAAAGTATTCATAACCCTCCATTTTGTACCAAGACAAATCTAAGTAACTTTAAGCTAATCTTGGTACCACATTCTGGTATAAACTTGAAACACAATTTTTATGCGTCTGCAATTTCCTTTGGCCTTTTTTGCGATGAAGTGCTAAATATTGGTTGTTTAATCGATAATATCATCTACATCTGATCTTTTCAAGAATATTTTAGATTGTAGAAACTTGACATTTGTATATTTGATCTTTGGAAAACCAAAATAAATATTTTTTTGTCCCATTTGTCCCTCCGTCGTACCCAGAAAAAACTTTGACTACCGTTGAACTGAAACTGCAATTTTGATTAACTCAGTTAGAGTAGGAGTGTGATAAGGGAATTTATCAAACCTTTTTTCAGCAAATAGATTATAAAGCAAATCTTAGAACCGAATAACCGGGAAACATCTCTTTTGTTAAAATACTTTCAAATTAACCTCTATATGAAAAATTGGGCAACTAAGTAGACACACTCATTTTGTTGTTCATATATTATTTTTTGTGGTGTTAGGACTATTTACACAGGATAATTGGCCATATGCCAAATTTGCACTTTCTCTCATCCCTCTTCTCAGACTGTGGTACCCAGTATGAGGGGTTCTGGGATGGGAAAGTACCTGCACGCTTGCGTTTCATGATTTCATATTAAAGTTCATCACTTTTTCGAGTTTTGAACTCTTGACTTTTGACTAAGAATGTTGTGCACTAATATCTATGCGAAGTCAGCTCACAACATTAGCAATCAATTTTTTGGCATGGCCAACTCGACATGAAAATTGTAATGAAATTTTGTGGCTCTCAATTTCTTTATGCACGTTTTGATTTCCCTTTCATTTAGCACATTTTCTAATGATTCCGCAATTTAATTCAAGGTTAATTTATGCTAACAATATGATCTTCAAGGGTATTAAAGAATGTAGAATATATTTTGTTTTTTACTATCTTGGCAAAATTGAATAGAACAAAGTGATTTGTGGAGCAAGTTGGAGTAGGAAAAAATGAGCTAGGACAAATTGACCTCGGGCAAAATGACATGCAAAAGCGCTTCAAATAAGCGTGCTTGAAAAAAAAATGACGTGGATTAGGTAATTTATACTGTTGATTACTCGAAACTTTGATCAAAAAGTATTTTTTAATTATTTTTCTTTATTAAACTGATCAATATATCTTGCCCCAATCTTACTTTTAAAACAACATAATTGATCTCCTATAAAACGGTTTGCGGGAATTTTTGAACTAGCGATCCCTATTTTTTAACCGTCTCTTATATTTGTTTGAACTGTTCGTCTCTGTCCTAGAAACAGACAGAAACTCAATTTTCGGCTCCTCCTCCTTCAACCTCGCACACGAGGATCAACTTTTTTGTGTGACGAGTGGTTTTAAAAGTTTAGTTTGTATGTTTGATATTTTCTCCAGGGCGTTATTAATCATAATATCAATTTTCACAACAATCGGATAATGCAAACAGATGTTTTAGATGTATAAGTTTTCAGGCGGGGATTGTAGCAGAAAAAAAAAACAAAAAAAATTGAGTTAATAAGTTAAGTAGAAAAAATTTTGTTCAACACCTGAAAAACTCTAGAAAATATCTTTTTGAAATGCAAATTACGATTAAACTGTTATGAAAATTGACTCTGCCCCAGTTTATTCCTCTGAAACAGTTAAACTGATTTTACGAAAGAAAAGTCTAGGAGCATGAAACACAAATAAACACAAAAAACATTGATATGGGGGCGAGGCTGCGCTTTGCAAACATTAGTGAGAACACGACAAAAAGCAGCTCTAGAATTGTAAAAGTTCGGCGCCGTGCCTCGAATTAGAAAAAGTTCGGCGCCGTGTCGGACTGGAACATACAACCAAGACATTAGGAGTCTCACTTACTAACAACTCAACCACAGACGCATAGTCGATCTCAAACACTAGCCACGAATAAAGCCGAGAACAGATGCTATGAAATGTCCAAAGTTACAGATTGTTCATTATTGTTCAAGGCACACAAAAAACCCTTCTAATGAACACTTTTATTTGCGAGTTAACTTAGAAAAAAAGAAGGTTGGTACTAAAACACTAGTTGCTCGCTAGCATATAAACTATGATATATTTTTTGCTAAGTCCAAATTAAATATTTATTCCAGTTGGAGAGACCTGTTTTTTTTTTGTCAATAAAACCAATCCATACTGTGTCACTGCAATTTTTTTATCAAGGCAAAAATCATTTTTTGATTGCTTTCTAATATGTTTGAAATAATTTTTCCAGAGAAATTCTTTCAACAGTTATTTCAGAAATAAGTAACAATTTTTTTTCCAATTTTCTTGAAAATCTTCCACAAACGCGATGACAATAAACAAACAATATATCAAGTTGTATATTTGCATGCATCAATTTTCCTCAATTAAATTTGAATTTGAAATAGTTTCTGAGTGGGAATACTTTGCTCTTTAATTTAACAAAAATGACTGCAAGGGAAATTTTATTTGATTAGTTAGCTCCGAGTATCAGTGTTTTCGTGATGCTAGTTAAATCTTTGTTCAAGCTAATATTTACAAAAATCAATCTTTGAATATGCTGGAGAGAAAACACCAAGCACTATGGTAATCCGTCATTGAATTTAAAGTCGGAATGGAAATTAAATTTAGACAAAACAATATATTCGTATTTTCAAACTTGTAGCTAGCTAGACTCTAGAAGTTGGAAATCTAATTTGAAAATTTTAAATAAAAACTTAATCAGTTTGTTGTAGTTCGCTTACTTCACTGAATTGCACAAACAGGGTTGCGCAACATTTTGATAAGATTTTCTATAAATGTCGCAGAAAGTTTGCAATTGATGTAGTTTTTCCCGGGTAAAAATTATTTCGATTAGTAAATCGCTGAATTTTCTAGGTAATCTATAAAATACCAATGCATTGAATTTGTAGCTTATTTAAGAAGGGGTTGGTTCAAAGAGACTGATTTTCGAAACTTGTCCAAAACACTGCAACTTCTTTGAGAGGTCAGGGGATCGAATCCCTGTCGAATCCCTGATGCCCCCTCTCTGAGAGCTTCGACCACCTGACCGATATGTCCAACTTTTGATAGCATTTTTTATGAAACTCTTTTTTTTTCAGACCGAGTGTGTCTATTGGCATTTTGGTACTAAGTTTAAGGGGGAGCACGCTCCAAAAATTGAAATTTTTTATTGAAAACTTTCAAAAAAACCTTAAATAGTGTTTTTGGCTTGTTTCTTCTAAAACTCGCACGCGGCGCAGAAAATTTTGCAAGAAAAAGACATTTTCATTTTAGTGTTTTGGTCGATCCTAGCTATCTTAGACAATCAATCATAGACAATCAAAGTTTTTGATAATCCGAACTCCTCCTTCAGGGGCGGATGTAAGATTTTCTCAGAGGGGGGGGGGGATTTTCGAAAAAATGTCAAAAATTTTGTCGACCTTTTTTTAGGTCGACCAAACTAATTTTCCGAGCTCTACCAAAGCACTACAAAGACCCAGAAAAAAACAGGCCAAAAAAGGCGTTTTATGCACTTTTTGGAAAATGTTAACCAAAAAATCGCGTTTTTTCGGCGAGCGCTCCCTCCTTAAAATTAGTATATTTGGCGCCCAAGGCGCCTTAAGAAAAGTTTTATGGTCAGTCAGCCAAAAAGGGATATCTCAAAATAGTACAAAGGGGGACCCTTTGGGTCGGCAGGGGGTTGAATCCCTGAGGGGGAGGGAAGAAGCGCGTTTGCCCACACCCCCCCTCCCCCTTCCTAAATCCGCTGGTGCCACCCTTAAGAAATCGCAAGATCCGCGTCTGCCTTGAATTCAGAATGAAAAAAGTACATCTAGTCCTTTGCATTTTTCATAGATATAAATTTACAATTAAAATACCTAAAACATTTTTCGTGGAAAGTGTCCTTTTTCAAACACTGATTGTGCTAGCCTTCAAATGGGCTGAAAAATCCTAAGAAAATGTTCTTCTAAGTTTTTTAAAAACTAGGCACTCAGTTCAAACTTCATAAACTGGTAAAAAATTTTACTGGCGCCATGCCGAAATGATAAAACTCACTTATGCATACCGTCACGGTTAGACTAATTTTTGCAGCACATGTTAACAAACCTCGATCCTTATTTGGGATGTCAAATCAAACCTCAGTTAAACAACAGATTGTTTATTTGAACTGATCTATAATCTCAATTTATGCTTAATTCAATTAATTTATCTCTAGCTATGGAATATCTAAATTTCAGGCTATTCCTAGACATTTTAGCAGTTTTGCTATTAAGTGGTCTTCTTGAAGCGGAAGAACCAAAATCTATTCACGTTGCTCTTGTCTCGGGTTGTGACTCACACCTTTCGTCAATGACTCCCATCGCCTACTCGCTACTGCACCACTCTTCCGTCAAAGACAAGTACCGAGTGACATTTATCATCGGATCTCAGTGTCGAGATGTTGCAGATAAATTGGGTGCTGATTTCTACGATACCGGACCCTGGGGCTACCCTGGGAATGGCACTGGATTCAATTCACATAATCGAGACTTGTCGATGGGTTAGATGCGCTTCCTTTTCTGAAAACTCTTTTTAGGAAAAAAGTTACAGCAAGAAAAGTTCACACAGAGGCGAGGCGGAGCTTCGCACCACTTGCAATACAACACGAACATAAAAAAGTCGGAAAAAAAATTAAATGTTGAAAAAACTAAGAGAACCAAAGTTTTCATATGTCTCGATAAAAAACAAATAGAGGCTCAGCTAAAGCTGGAGCTACGTGTTTGGTACTGAATGAATTTTCAATACTCATGCGTCACGAAAAATGTGATTTCAAAAATTGGACTTTGTCCAAAACCTAAGTTGTTTCTCTACTAATTTTGAAATAATCAATTTTCCCAAGGATAGAACAATTCTCTTACAAGAAATTAAAGAGCCGACGCTTCTGTAGGAAAAATTATTGCAACATGTTTCGGCAGAGAGTAGGTTGTGGCCGCTTATGCAAAGAAGATTCCCAAAACCGAGTTTCTCCATTGAGCATAACCTGAGAAAAGGCACGTTAGTTTTCGCGAAAAGTCAAAAAGTTTTCAAAAAATTGTCTAAGTTTCAAAACTTCGACTTATTTGAAGGCCATAATTTTTTTCTTAAGCAAACTGAGTATGGCCAATTATAAACGTAGTCGTTCAACAACCTATTGATTTGATTAAACCTATGATATCAGGTTTGGCAGAATAGCTGGCGAGAAAAGTAAAAAAAAAAACGGTCAACATTTAGAAATCGTCAATTCCGATAACCATATTTTTTTTTTGCAAAAATTAGGGCCGAACCGCACACGCAGAAGGAATTAAAGCAACCTATAAATTCGATCAAAATCAAAATGTCAGATTTGGGAGAGTAGTTTTCGATTAGAAAAAAACTTTCATAAGAAAACGGTCAAAAAATCAAAATTGCCAAGGGCCAAAAAAACTCATATCAAAGAAATTGGGGAGTAGTCGCACAACCAAATGAGCTTTTTACAACCCCTTCTTTGAATTGAATCCAAAATCTTAAATATGGCAGGGAAATTAAAAAGAGGTCATTTTTTTCGAAGGTGATAACTTTTTGTGTAAAAAAACTTTATGAGTAGCCACTAATGCAGGGGAGCTTCCTATGGCTTGTTAACTCCCTTGAACTCGCAATATCAGATTTTAGATGTAAATTTTTGAGCGAGGCCATAAAGAATCACCAAACCGTCAAAAATCAAAAAGTGGACTATTCCGAGGAGCATAAATTTTTGTATAGAAAAAAAATTGGTCATAACCGCTTATGCAGGGACATTACCTAACCAGTGCTAATCATTTAAACCAAAAATGCAGATTTGAGAGGCGCAGTTATCAAGAAAACGAAAAAAAAAAATCTCGAATAATATCCCACACTTTTTTTAAGGTGGTAAACAGAGGGGTCAAGTGAAAAAGACTCTAGAGGAGTATTCAGGTATACAGGTAAATGGGCGGTATTTCAATTGATACCTTTTTATGAATTGCGTGAGAAAAACAAAAACTTTTGCCAAAGTGAAAACATTTTCAGAAACGTAATAATTAATTTCAACAAAGCGATTGGTTAATATACAACCAACATGAAAAGTGCGGAGGAAAGTGTTGAAATTGTGTTTCCTTTGAAGTGATTCAAGTTTTGGTCATTGAGTCAATGAAAAATAGACCGAATTAATTTGGGCCGAGGATTTTTTTCAGCGAAACAAAAAAAAAGGAAATACAAAATTAAGTTAAGTAAAGTTACATATTGTAGGAGTAAATCACACGCTTAAAGCAACGATAAAAAAATTGCGCGCAGCAAAAAAAAACAATTCAAGTTATTGCAACTAAGTCGAAAACAAACAAGCAGACAAATAATTGGCCGAAAATTTTATTTGAAACAGAATATTTCGCGTTTGAAAAAAAAACATGTCCGTCTCAGATTCGAATCCAGGACCTTTGCAGTCCAAGGCATAATCGTTACCTCCAAGCTAAAGTTGCTGAGAATGCAAAAAAAATGAATTCATTCTGAACCAAGATACAAGTGATTCAAATGTTTCTGTTTAACAAATTGTTAACCCGAAAAAAAGTATATATTCCAGTTTCATGACGCTTGCTAATCGCAAGAGTATTAAAAAGAAAAAACCTTTTTCGTTCGGTGAACTCATTATTTGATATCAGTTGCAAATAGACACTTTCTTCACATTTGGTTCATTCAATTTCAGAGAAAACAAATTTTTGACAACCTAGGCATTTGGGGCTGTTCTCTTTGTTTAAATTTTTAAATGAATCTAATTAAGTTCAATTAATGGATTTCAAGTTAAATTTTTTAAGGTCCGTTGACATATGGATACCCTGCAGTTGAATCACTCGTCAAAAACGACAAACCCGACTTGATTCTTGCCGAACTCTTCAACTGTCGGGTTTCTCTCATCGCCGAACTGAACAGCATTCCCTACGCTACCATTTGGGCAGGTGCAACCCCCCACCCCGCCATGTACCAAGCGGGTTACGAACTGAACGCTGGAGTGATTGGCCTGTACACACCAAGCGAGGACAAACCAAGATGGGTGCTGGACTACTTCACAACTCTGTTTTTTTCTCAGGTGGCGGTTTTATGGGGTTTTCTGCAGAGCGAGGCCAATGAGTTGTTCAATTCGATGGTAAAAGAGAAAGGAGTCAACAAAGAGTTTGAAAATGCATACCATATCATGAACTCCTACCCATCACTCGCTCTAGCAGGTAAACTGAAAAAAAAGTTAAAAGCTTCCGAAAACTTTTGAGTATAACTACCTTGGTATTCATTGAGGCCGTTATATTAAAAAATCTACGAATATTATCTTTCAAGTTGAACTTGCGCTTCCGGGAGAGCTTCTGGGAAGTTTTGGAAACTGCGCTATTATATCTAATTTAATTCGTGTAAAATGCTATAAGCTATAAAGTTACAGCTTATTTTTGACAATAACCTATTTTTCGAATTGTCCATTTGTAGTAGAGAGCTTAACCTATATGAATAAATTAAAATCTTAGGCTAATTTGCAGGCCCGCCTATTTTTCCCCTGAAGGAAGTTCCAGGCAAATTATACATCGCCGGAATGCAGCCCACCGAAATCGCAGATCCAAAGAAAATGAGCGCAGAGTTGCGCATCTTCATCGAGAACAGCAAATTAGACATTCTTTACGTGGCACTCGGAACATACGCTGTCTTCAGTGACGAGCAGTTTGAAAAGATGAAGACTGCGTTTATGAAGCAGGAGAGATTTAATATAATCTGGAGTCACTCGGGATGGAGTGAGGAGCAAGAGTTGAAAGGAGAGTATGATAGAAGCAGAATGTTCATTAGGAAGAAACAACCGCAAAAAGAGATTTTCACGTATTCAAAAGTGTAAGTTCTCTCGCAAAAATACCCCTTTTCACACACTTCTCCCATATAATTTTCCTTCAATGGGCCCGAGAAATCAAAATTATACCTCGTAGAAAAACGTGCCAGACTATCATTCGTCAGATGGGGGCGTGTATATCAATATTTCTTGACAAAAAGGGAGCAATTTTTTAGACCAGCCATTACGATTCGGAAGTCGAACAGCGATCGTTCCCCATAGCCTTAGTATGCGATAGAATTGAGGGAAGAAAATTCCCAGCCAGAGTGGCAACAAAGCACGGGTGATAAAACGTAGTTCATAGACTTGAAAAAAACGTCCGACGAAAGATAATAATAATAACAAGAATGCTCGTATCAGGGCAAAGCCCTGAATGTTCCGACTGCCTTTTAAGGTCTATGAAGCAGAAGTAACATGAAAATTTAAAGGTAAAAAATAAAATTAAATTTTTTTTTTAATTCGAGATTTTTTGTAGAAACGTATAAAGTACAAAGTGATAAATTTTGCTCCTTTTAACCAATTAATTATGGCTTATAAGCTTCCTTGAACCAATTTGGAACGATTTCTAAGACGGATTAAATCTCGCTTACGCGTTAATAGCGCTAAATACATCGCGCATTAACTGTCCCAAATTGGCCAAAATGGCAATCTTTAAACCCCCATAACTTTACAAAAAATGATCACAGGTAAAATATGTTTTCAAATTTAAGCCCACGACAACAATACCTTTTGAATGATATGAAAAAATTCCATCAAAAATGGCTAGTTAAAAAGTCGAAATTTGTGTGACGAAAAAAAACCCACCCCGAGCACAAATATTCCGTTACTTTCGTATCGAAAGTCGGAATAATAACAACACTGCTCGTATCAGTGCGAAGCCCTGAATGTTCCGACTGCCTTTTAAGGTTTATGCTCCTTGTAACGAATCAATTATGGCAAATAAGCTTGTTTCAACCAGATTTCGCTCCTTGTAACGAATCAATTATGGCAAATAAGCTTGTTTCAACCAATTTGGAACGATTTCTAAGACGGATTAAATCCCTCGCTTAAGCGCTAATAGCGCGAAATATATCGCGCGTTAATTGTCGCAAATTGGCCAAATTGGCAGTTTTTAAACCCCCATAACTTCACGAAAAATGATCACAGGTGAAATATCTTTTCAATTTTAAGCTCATGACAACAATACCTTTTGAATGATATGAAAAAACTTCCGTCAAAATTTGCTAGATAAAAAGTCGAAATTTGTCTGAAGAAAAAAACCCAACCCGAGCACAAATATTCCGTTACTTTCGTATCGAAAGTCGGAACAATAATAACAAGACTGCTCGTATCAAGGCGAAGCTCTGAATGTGCCGACTGCCTTTTAAAGTTTATGAAAAACTAATGACAAAAAAATTAAATGCAATAAAATAAAATGAAAATTTTTTTCTAAAATTTGAAATTTTTTCATGAAAATCTAGCTGAAACAAAAATGGCTAGTTAAAAAGTCGAAATTTGTGTGACGAAAAAAAACCCACCCCGAGCACAAATGTTCCGTTACTTTTGTATCGAAAGTCGGAACAATAATAATCAATTGAATTGAAGCAAAACCACAAGCCTCAACAAATACGGCATCAAACTATATTCGGTAAAAAATAGGTTAATAATATTTTTAGTACTAATAATAAGGTTATAATAAATAATAACGGATCTCTTTAACTACATCCCCCTCGGGTACCTAGAAACGAATATCCCACAATAAAGAAATAAATCAACGGTTAAGCATTTGAGAACTTTAAACCTAGAGACGAATCTCTGCCCTTTTGCAAAAGGGGGATATAGTTAAAGAGATCCCTAATAACAGCTAAACTGGTTTTAGTAAAGTATTCCTTTCCCACTGCGGTGCTAGTTCTACAATGGAGGGCGTGTCTAATCTCAAAGCCTTCATCGGGTGTCCCCAAATGCGTGACCAGGAAATGGCTTCCAAAGTCATCACAAAGTACAACTTCGGAACAATCATAAGTCGCGCCCCTTCCGAACACGAACTCTTGACAGCTGTTGAAAACGTCTATCAAAACTTGCCGACTTATCTCAAAAATGTTAAAACAGTAAACGAAGAATCAAGTGTCGATTCTGCTCGGAGGCTGGAGAAGTTTATTGATTCGATGGCATCTGAGAGAAGAACTATTCAATTTGATTTCAAAGAGTCCAATTTTATGCCTTTATGGCGCGGAGTTGCAAATCTTTTATTGTTCTTTTCGTGTTTGCTTGCTTGCATTTTCAGCCCTTTTGTTTTGCTGTGTTGCGCATGCTATCGTTTTCGAAAGATTAACACAAAAAACAATAAGAAGACGCAATGAGTTTAGTGAAAATATGCGACAACTCAATCTGTATCTTTGAATGGTTATGTGGGTAAAAAATATGGTACTGGGTATATCAATTTACTTTATCAAATGCAGATCAACGTAGTTAATATACTTTAAAATTCAATTTCACGGAGCCAAAATCACTCTCATTCAAAATCTATCAAAAACACCTCAAAGATAACAAAAAATTACAAAAACATTTGCCGTTGAACAAATTCAATTATTTCAACCATTTCAAAGTTTGAGCTTCAAAACCTGAAAACCAAAATTAGACAAACTTTATTTGGTTTAAAAAATTGAAGGAAAATTTTTTTGGATATTCAAAACAAATGCTCAAAAATGAGTCGTGGAAACCAAACTGCATTTTGGGCAAGGAAAACAATTGCTCCAAAATAAACCAACTTTTTTCTAGTATTAGACTGTGACAAAGTTCCGTTCTATCCTCGAATTTGAGAAGAAATAGTATCAGAAACTTTTTTTCACTAAAATTAGGTAGTATAAAAGACGTCGTTCAAGTTGAGTGATGTATCAAGCTTCTGTTTTGTTTTCTGAACTGTAATCGAACCGAATTGCATGTATCAAAATAGTTGCTTCGATGAACACTCCTTTAGTTCATGATTCTATCAGTCTCCTCTTCTTACTGGGATTCTAAAACATGTTGACCTGAAAGCTCTCTCAAAGTGTTATTACTTAGTTATTAGATATTCATTTTACTCTTTCAATTTACATTTAATTTTTTTTTGCAAAGTTATTCGTGGTCGAAGAAATATGTGATAATTTGCGAATTTGAGAAGAAATAGTATCAGAAACTTTTTTACACTAAAATTAGGTAGTATAAAAGACGTCGTTCAAGTTGAGTGATGTATCAAGCTTCTGTTTTGTTTTCTGAACTGTAATCGAACCGAATTGCATGTATCAAAATAGTTGCTTCGATGAACACTCCTTTAGTTCATGATTCTATCAGTCTCCTCTTCTTACTGGGATTCTAAAACATGTTGACCTGAAAGCTCTCTCAAAGTGTTATTACTTAGTTATTAGATATTCATTTTACTCTTTCAATTTACATTTAATTTTTTTTTGCAAAGTTATTCGTGGTCGAAGAAATATGTGATAATTGCGCAGCGACCGGAATTAGGTACTAAATTTTTAAAAGATCAAAATAATAAATTGCTAGGCTACGCTAGACGTAGCAAAACATCACGCAAGTAATTAAATTTATCTGAAACAAAAACTGCTAGCTACCAATTGCAAGTTTACGGATGTAACAAAAAAGGGGGAAAGATGCAACAACCTTGTATACGGCAACAGTTTTCCAATAAACGAGAAAACATTATCTTATAGTCAAAATGGTAAATTAGTACGCTAAGTTTCTATTTCAGTTTGTTTAACAGATATTTGAGACTTCTAAGCTAATGTGAAGTCTAAATCTTTGAGCAGGAAAAAAAACAAAAAAACTGAATTGAGAAAAAAAATTCAATTGCAACAAAATATGTTATCAGCAAAAAAGCAGAGTCTTGCGCACAATACGAAGCACCTACAAAATATTACAGATAGCAACTAATTTGAAAATTTTTTTTGAAAAAATATCAAAAAAACTGTCTCTACCAAACTTTTTGTCGCATCAAGGAAGGCAGTTTTCAGCGGTAGACTAGCAAAGAAACAATTTATATATTTTCACTCAAGCCCAAAAAACTTGGTATACGTCGGTTGAGCCAAATTTTTTCATCATAGTAATTTTGACTTAAAATAATGTAAGCTCTAAGTTTTTAAGTTTCGCATACCACGAGCACACACGGATGAACAATTATTCTGAACTTTCGAACGACGCAATTATTGGCAACTGGGTTGATATAAAAATAACTGAAAACTTTTGACTCGAAAAATCATTTGAAGCAAAATGGACCAAAAACACGAAAAAAATATTGCAAAAATTCGGAGTAGATTTATAACCAAAAAAACACAGTTTTTAAAAAGCAGGAAATTCAAATTTATGCTTAGTCGAATTTTAAAAAGTTTTCGTGATGTAACTGACAGAATTTTGTATAAAGAATTTTAAATAACCCTTACATGTTTCTAACAAAAATTATTTAGCAGAAAAAAAATCAAGTTACCGCTTACAAGACACTCACCTTGATATGTAATGGCTACTAAATAAATATGAGCATATCAGCATTTCTGGCTGTTTATAATGGTTTAATGATCTGGTTATGACAACTTGCTTAGGTAAGAAATGTACGCAATCTGATTGGAAGGGCCAAAGTTTTTTAATCAAAATAAATTTTGACATCAAAAGCAAAAAAAGGGTTTCTGAAACATAACTGGGACAGTGAGTGAAATTAAAAAAAGAACCTCAGCTGGTTGTGTTTTGAAGTATTCGACAAGACAAAAAAGAACGATCTGGAAACAAAAATATTGTTTCATCATTATTTGAATTGGTTAAAAGCAACCAAACCACTTTTACCTTGTACGGCAAACACGATGACAGCTGTTAAAACGTTAAATCTTTTGAGGAGACTTTAACGCAACACAGCACACAAAAACGTGGAGAATCAACTTCTGAAATTATCATTGTCGTCCTAATGTCATATTTCGAGCTATGAAAAGAAGCAAGCCTTGATTAAAATATCGCTTTGTCAACAAATTCAACCCGTTCTCCATTAAAAAACAAAAACAAAAAATTGATAAATAGTTTTTAGGACCAAGTTAACATCCTCCCTCCCAGATAAACCAAGTTAAGATCCTCCACCCCAGCGTTGAATTTAAATTAAATTTGATTAGCGCTGCGTGTAAAATGCCCTATTCTGATTGGCTGAAAATTCGAGCTCTGAATAAAGTTAAAATCTTCCCCCCTAAATGTTTACGTGCAAAATAAAGTGCTTCAAAAAGCGCCTGTCTCGCCGTCTTGTGAAATATTTTTCCCGCCTTTTCAGATTCAACGCTTTAATAGGCTCAATGGGAGACCGGCCTATTTTCATGCGTGCCGCTTAGCATGCGACAATTAGCGCAATTAGAATTGAATTTGTTTTCTCACGTCTGCAACTTAAATTCAAATTGATGCGTGCCGCATCAACTGAGTAATAATTTTAATTGAGCATGCTAAGCGACCGCTACGCCCCCCAGTTCAACGCTTTATTAGTTTTCCGCTAAATAAAATTTCCCCTTTTCTAGGTTTGAAAGAATCACTCAACTGCATATTAGCATCCACTTCATTCAAAGATGATTTTGAACGTCACTGTAAAGCTACCGCTGGTTAAAATACTACAAAACAAAACCAAATGGATTGTACACTTTAATGAGCGCCTTAGTTTGAGTTAAACTAGCAGAGCCAACAGAGTGGTAAAAAATTTTGCGAGCTCTCGAATGCTTGCAAGTTACTCGCAAAAATCATGATATTCATATGCCACAATTTAATCAAATTGTACCGAAATATTTATGCTTGGAGTGGTTTTTTGTTGAGTCAATTTTCGACTTGTTAATTAAACGTTTTCGACAAACTTTTTATATCATATTAGAGATATTGTTAACTTAAGCTCAAATTTTAAAAGATATTTTACTTGTGATCATTTTTTGTAAAGTTACGAGCGTTTGAAAATTGCTAATTTGGCCATAATAGGTAATTAAAGAGCGATAAATTGCGTACTTATAACATGCGTGAGAAACGAATGAATGCATTCAAAATTGAATTAAGGCCAGCCATAAAATCATATTATTACAATACGAGACGCTAAACACACTTACTATTTTACATGATAAAATGTGCGATGATAAAATGAAAAGCAGAAAAAAAGTTTCTTCCTTTTTTCTCGAAGGTTTTTTTATCAATTATTCAACCAAAAAAAGCTTTTCAATTGGCCTTAAGTGCATTCGGAACTTTCAGGGCTTTGCCTTGATATACTAGCAGTCTTGTTCATTTTTGGTAAACAATCGCTTTCCATAAATTTTCAAAAATATAACGAAACGCTTATCTGCAATTCGAAAACACAAGGAATAAATAACGGCAAAAACTCTCTCTAAAAAGGCTCGAAAATATTTAAAGAAAACAAATAGACAGTAAATTTTCACATCGTTAGATCTAGGGCAATTTCAACCGCAGGTTCAAGCGGCTGCCCTACACAGAGGCTAAGCGGAGTTTCACACATTTTGCAATGCACCAAACACCGTATGTAAAAATAGCCAATAAACAGATCAAAACCGCAAATCTTGAAAAAAGCATCCAAAATGAAACTAGTCAACAAAACTGAACCATTCAAAATATCAAATTTTCGTTTGGATTTGTCTGGAATGTTTCATTTTAAGGAAAAAATCAAACGAAACATTTAAATATAGAAACAGAGGCAAAGAAGAAGTTCGTACGAGTTGCAATACCATGCAATTATAACATTTCAAGCCAGCAGACATTTTTAAAATAAGATTAAAAAAACGATAACTATGAAATCCAACTGCCTGTCTCGAAGATGTTTAATTTGAGCAAAACGTGTGCAGACAAACTGTTTTGACGTATAAAACAAGATTCAGCAACAATTATTGAGCATCATCTAAGCAGACACAACTGCTTAACTTTCAATGAGTCAAAAACCAGTTTTGTCATGAATTTCGCGATATTTCAAACACTTACGCCCTCACCCAAGCCAATTTATGTCACTAAATCGAAATATTTAAGACCAAATAGAAGTTACGAGTAACAGAAACATGCAAAGGAAATTACAAAAAGTCAGATTCAGTAAACTACGAACTACAAGAAAGTAGAAAAAAAATATTTCTTCATGTGGCAACTTATCCCACTAAACATAAGCAGACAAATAAAAGGCCTCCAATTTTATAAAGTGGAATATTACCTTCTACTTATAAGGGAAAATCTACGTTCTGATCCGATAACGCTTGATAGTCGCAAAATTATAGAACTAATCTACTGCAAGCCTTGCTTGCTTAATACAGAATGGATGACTCTGTCTTGAATGTTTTTACTTAGATTATCTCCGAAAAATCTGCTCTAGTGCTTAAGAGTTTTTCTTCTGTAAAAAATTTCGTTTATGTCTTTTGAGGATTCTGAATCTCAAAACAGATATGCATCTTTTTGCCCACTTGGACTTAGCTGCAAACACTGATTCTCGCGCATTATACAGTGCTGATTTAGATTAACCGAAAAACGAACATTTTAAAATTTGAAGGCGTTTTTTTCAAATTGGGATAAGATTAAACACAGAAGGAAGAGCTTAAAGTTGCTTAAAATTTAACCAGAACTTTTATGGTGCAATTCATGTTTCAAAAATGGCAACCAAAATTTGCCCCCAAAAAATGGTTTAATTTGGCTTTTTTATGTTAATCAAGACTAGAGCTGAAACTACTACATTAAATGATGATAAACTTATTTCCAGAAAAACCTATCGAACAGCCCAACACTTTTAGAACATAAAATTGGCCGAGAAACGAACATTTTAAAATTTGAAGACGTTTTTCTCAAATTGGGAAGTCAAATTGGCCCATTTTTGGTTCCCAACTTCGCAAAATCAATTGCATCATAATAATTCTGGTGAGAATCTAAGCAACTTTCGTCATTCTCTTTTTTGTCTTATCTCAATTCAATTTGAGAAAAGCCCGTTGAAAGTTTCAAACTTAGTAGTTTGGTCCGATAATTTAAATCAACACTAGCACATTTGCCCAATATACGTGCATGGGAGTGAAGCCTTCATTACTTGTTAACGACACGTGTATTTGAATTGCTTTTATTTTTACGATAATTAACACAGTTCTCTATTATTTTTATGCTAATCGAGCTTTATGCTAGTCAATTCACAACAATTGTCATCGTTTTTGTCAGAAGTCAAAAAGGAGACACTAAGACTTTTTTTACATATTAACTATTTACAATTTTAACCACAAATGATTACAAATATACATATGTACTATTCATTTTCGAAACTTTGATTCAAATCTATCAATAGTTGAACTTTCATGAGTTCGATACCTAAATCTAAAATGAGTTCATATTCACTATAGAGTTCAATCATGGATCATCATGAGGTGCAGCAAATCCGTGCTTCTAAGATCTTGAACCGAGAGTCACATGTGATATTTGTCAAGATTCCTCTTCATGTTGTTTCAAAATCACAATGTGAAGGTTATTTGGGCGAAAAAAATGTTGATTGCCTGGGACACAAATTCAGTTTGAGTCAACGTTTTAACTGTCGAATGCGATGAGTCCATAGCCTGAAAGGCTTCCAAATGTCACTTAGCTTATAAATCCAAAATTACAAAGACAATTATAATTGCAAAACTTCGAATACAAAAGCTGGCAAACAAATTAGTGAAACAAACCTGTTCTAAAATTTCTGCAATTTTTTTGTTGGTGAATTTCGCTGCCACTGCCAGAAGCCTAAAACAAAAACTTTCCATTTCGTCAAAATAAGAAAATTGTTAGGATAAAATTTGAAAGACCAAAACTGCAAAAACTCAAAATTGAGAGCATAATTCACTGCATTCCACATGCAACAATGAAAAATAACAAACATTAATACCAAAAACAATATAGAAGTTTTAACAAAAAATTATGCCTAACCTGAGTGTTTCGGTTTCAGCGTCTACTTCTGTGGCGCCTTTGAACAGTTCGTTCAGAATAGAGTCTGCCAATTTGCAGCTGATTCTGTCCTGTTTATGCACGTCCAACTCAGTGAACAGTTGGTCGCAGAAGGTGCAGAAATCTAAAATCGCAACTCGAGATGAAAGTATTGCGATCTTATAGGAGTTGTCATCATGCCTGTGAACGTTTAAATGAGCTTGGTTTTTATATGTACACCAATTATCTTTCACTTCGATCGCCATATTTATGTTACCTTACTTTCCGAAACACCTCCTCTAAAAGGAAGGGAAGGAATTATACCGTAGCGTTTTTTCCGCTCAAATTTAGGTACCACAAACATATTAAATTATTTCAAACTTATATGCAAAAAACAACATTTGAAGAAAAACGCTAATCTACACAGACTCGCAGCTGCGCTCCATGTACACACAGCCAACTGATAGTTAGCCAATACAGCCAATAGATGTTGAGCTCAAGAAAATCTCAAAAACTAAATTTTTGGAAACTTTTTAGGGTGCAAGTATTAGAGCAAAACACAGAGGCGAGTCCCCTCTTCTCTCATCTGCGCCACGTCCCCTTGGCAATTTACAAACACTAGCCCGAACTTAAAAATACATAAAGCAGCTACATATGCTAATAAATTGCCAATCAATGCAGCACAAGTGGCACCAAATACAAATAGACAGAATTTTGCGTATTATAATTTGGAACACAACAAACTGAAGGCATCCACACAAACTTTACATTGGAAAACATAAAAAGCCAAATTATGCATAAATTATGCATTTAAAAAATATCGCGAGATATACTGAGTTGAAAAATTTCTGAAATCGAGTTTTTACAATGATACTGTTGTTTGAAACAAATAGCTTTTTTCGGTTCATTTGATGAATTAAAACTGCATTAACTGTTCTAACTTATTACACCGAAGACTTTAGTCAAGGTGTTATGGTATCGTGTAACGGGGTTTTTTTTTAATGTTGTCTGTTGTCAAGTGTCGACAAATAACGTCCACAGTTATCAATTATCATGTGGGCTGGACCATATCGCGCTATGTCACGTGATTGCGTATGTTTGTTTCTTTATTTGTTCATCTTTATTTATTTAATTATCTGTTCTATTTATTTAATTATGTTTAGTTTGCTTATATTTATTTATAATTTATGTATGTACATATTTATTTTTGTTTATTTTTATCACGTGTTTTGTTTATTTATTTAATTATTCTTTCTTTCATTTAGTTTTGCTTTTATTATTTCTGCGTGTGTATTTATTTAATTTATTTATTTTCATTTATTTATATTATGGGTCTGTTTGTTTGGTTATTTGTTCATATATATTTTTTGATGTCTATTTAATTATTTGTACATTTCACTTTTGCTTTTATTTATTTATTTATTTATTTATGTATTGATTTATTTTTTTATTGCTTATTTATTTATCAGGTGTGTTTTGTTTATTTGTTGATATTTATTTCTATATTTATTTAATTATTCTTTCTTTCATTTAGTTTTGCTTTTATTATTTATGTATGTGTATTTATTTCATTTATTTATTTTCATTTATTCATATTATGGGTCTGTTTGTTTGGTTATTTGTTCATATATATTTTTTCATGTCTATTTAATTATTTGTACATTTCACTTTTGCTTTTATTTATTTATATATTTATTTGTTTATGTATTCATTTATGTATTTATTTATTTATTTATGTATTGATTTATTTTTTTATTGCTTATTTATTTATCAGGTGTGTTTTGTTTATTTGTTGATATTTATTTCTATATTTATTTAATTATTCTTTCTTTCATTTAGTTTTGCTTTTATTATTTATGTATGTGTATTTATTTAATTCATTTACTTTCATTTATTTATATTATGGGTCTGTTTGTTTGGTTATTTGTTCATGAGATATATATTTTTTCATGTTGATTTAATTATTTGTACATTTCAGTTTTGCGTTTATTTATTTATTTATTTATTTATTTATTTATTTATGTATGTATTTATTTATTTATGTATTGATAGTACGATTTTTAGTTCTAGAACTGTTATTTCAGGCTCTTTCTCGATATAGCAAAATTTTGGTGTATACATGTATTAGTACGATTTTTTGTTCTAGAACTGTTATTCTTCAATTATTAGTTGTTCAAGTTGTTTGGTTTTTGCTTCAGTTTCTATGCCTTCGGTGTATTGCGCGTAGCGCCTATGTTTACTTATAGTGGAACCAATATTTGCGACCTTAGGTTGCGAAAAACACATTCGTACTATTGCTCTACGCTCGCAAGTTTAAATAGTACCTTCAAGCTCTTTGAATTTCAATAACCTTTATTGTATGGCCTTTTTTATTTTATCAAGAATTACGCTGAAGCTTTCATTAAGTTGTTTGATGAGAAAGTTATATCAAAAGAAGCCTCTTATACACCCCAACAGAGTTCTAAAATAAAAACAAATTTCAAAAACAAAAACAAATTCTAAAATTTTGTCAGGATGTGTAATAGTCTTCTATTGATATAACTGTCTCATCAATTAACTTGTTAGTTTCAGCGTAATTCTTGATTAATTAAAAAAACCGAAATGGCTCATTTTTGGGGTAAAATTTTGGTTGAAAATTCCGAAAAATGCAGCATATTAATTCTGGTTAAATTCTAAGCAACTTTTGCTCTCTTCAATTTCTGTCAAATCTTAACCCAATTTGAGAAAAATGCGTTGAAAGTTTCCAATGTAATCAATTCGTATGGATATTTTATATCAGCACTGTAATTTAAGTATTAAATATGTAATTAATTAATCAAAATATGGAAATATTCAAATTAAAGTCAATTTATGAACCTTAAAGTTATTCATGATAATTCGCACCCTCTGCATTTTTGTTATAGAAGAGCGTAATTTCTTCCATTTAGCAAATGAAGTTGATTGAAATTTTTAAATTCGGGCCGCTAAAATTAAAAATTAAGCGTTAACAATGTTTACCTAAGACGATTACTATAGACACTACGGTACGGCCAAACTCAATAAATTGCGTTAGAGTCTACTTATATCTAGAATTTTTTATACGTAGTCTAGGAACACAAGATGCAAAATTCATGAAAAAACAACACGCCAAAACAAAATATGCACTTCTATCAGAAAAGTCAGGCGCGTTCTCTGAGCCGATCGGAAATATTTAAATGCCGAATGAAAATTTCGCATATAAAGCATGCTACATTTTGCCTTCTACGGTAAAAGCCTGACAAAGTTTCTTTCTATCTAAAAATAGTTTCAGAGTAGCGTCACTAGTACCGATAGAAATGAGGCAGAGGTAGACTGCAGATCTGAAGATGGAGAAAGGGACCACTTCATGTTCTCGTACCACCAGTCTCTTCTGCACCTGCTCCAGACAAACACTCTTGGCCTCTCTTAAACATACCAGAGTACATGTTACAAACTCAACAGTCATACTTACTGGCTGAATCTATTTTTTGTTCAAATCGACGTAAACCAAGATGAGAATACTAGGTCAGCAAGAATTTTTCAACACAGGCAACTGGAGCGTGGCACCACTTGCGATACAAAAATATACTATACGAAACAGTAGCGGATTTGAAGGGGGCGGCCACCAAAAGGTTCCCCTTTGCTACTATTTTTGGACTTCCATTTTTGGCTGACCGACTCCAAAGTTCTTTTGGCTGAACGACTTCCAGTTGTGACAGAACGACTATTTTTGGACTGTTTTTTCGAAAATTTGCCGGCGGCACAGAAGCTTTGGTCAAAAATGTGTCTTTACAGTGATTTGGGAGAGCTCGGAAAAACAATTTGATCCAATGAAATCTAGAAAGCATAATTCACAAACTCAGAGCAAACGCTAAAAAAATCTTGTAAAAAAAATTTCATGAAAAAACGCGGACAGGAAAGTCAAGAGCAAACTCGTTCTGAATAATGTGTTTGTTAAAAGAAAAATCAAAGCTTCCGACTATCAAACACTTAATAAACACCTTGTGATTGAAACAACCCGCTCGCGGACTAAATCCCCCAGGATAAAATCCCCCAGGATAAAATCCCACCGGATATAATCCCACAGGACTAAATCCCCCATAGGACCGAATCCCCCTAGGACAAAATCCCCCATATTTTATTTACTATAATGGAAATCAAACTGTACACATTATATAATTTCATGTTTCTATTGATTCCATTTTGAACTGACTTCCATTTATACATGCATCGCCATTTTGACGTGACTTTTTAGCAACTTTAAGATTCCAGCATTCAGTTGACTTCCTATAAGAATGAGCTTCGATTGCAAAAATTAATAAGCCACGTGGCACAGTCAGTACGACAAGTGAATGGAAAACAATGTTGATTCCTTCAGCGTGAGTTCGAATCCCAAATATGACATTTTGTGCAATCAATGTAAAGGTCTGTTAAATTTACCCCTAGGGGTAAAAAATCCCGCGCTTCCACTAAGGTGGGGGTGCGGGATGGTGTGAAAGGAAGTCCCCGATTCCTAGAAAACCATCTTCTTTATTGTGTCAAAATTTCAGACCTCTAGGATCAAGGAATGTTGATTTTGGGGGGGTCCGAAATTTTGAACATGATTTTGAACTTAATTTAACGTTAATTTATGTTGGCTGATAAACAAATTAACACCCGATATAGTCCCAGCAAAACGATTAGTGAAACAGGTGTGATACCAATTTGCGTGGTCGCAATTTAATCCCCCCATTAGCAATTAAACGTTTGCTTCTTGACCATGTTTCCTTTAGCATAGTGAAGAATTCGACTACATATATCAAGTAACTCAATGAATAAGTCAACAACATTTGAATAAGTCAACAACATCAGAACCAGTCACATACGTATCAAGTTTTTCTTCATGGACAAAACTTATAAGTCAAAAAGCAAGTGTTTTTAAATATGAAGCCTGTGCTTCTTCGAAAAATCGAAGTAGACTTCGTCTCATAAACCTCGACGAGCACGAGGCTCCGGTAAAAAAACTCTTGTAAACATAAATGCTGACCACAAACATCCTACCCCTATCCACGAAAAACAGACTAAAACCACTAACCGAAAGACCTATCGGACATTACAATCAGAAACCATTACCATTAACCAGTACAAGTATTGTATATATATCTAGTTAATTTTATGCAAAAACTTGTCTGTGCTATTTTTTATTTTAATAATTTTTGTTTCTTATTCTGTTAACTTTGTTGACTTTGTTTTTGACGAATTTTTGTTTTCTAGATAACTGATGATGGCAGTATTGCCGAAAATGTTTTTAAAATTATCAAACCTTGATCCTACTTGTTTTTGCTAATTAGTTATCACGAGCCACTGTTCCAACCAGGATGCTTCTTATACAGTAATATGCAATCCAGTATATACTTGTTCCAATTACTCCTGAGATTAAGTTTCTCATGGCAACATCGCGTTTCAAAAACAGGCGAAGTGGATAAATTACATTTACATAAACTATATTTACAAAAATTACATTTATATTTTAAGTGAATACGATACACTTACATTTGCTGCCCGACACAGTATGACGCTATCAGCTCAGTAACAAACTCTTGAAAGACAGTTCCACCAATTCCAGAAACACTGACCTCTGCAACAACATGAGAAACAGTTTCACAGAAAGACAGACTCACCGCAAAAAGAGTGTGTCATAAATTTACCCTTAGCATTAGAAAGGACATCGAAAGCTGACAATAGGTTTCTTTCGAAGACTGGCTTTCCATAATTGCTCAGCAAAATAGTTTCCACAGCTTGAGATATTCGGTTCCGATTTTCAGGATTCGAAATAGAACGGAAGCTTGAAAAGACAATTTCATTTAGAGCACTATTCAGATTTGCATTAAAAAGGCCTGCTCAGTTATAGTAAGCCTCGATTTTTCAAAAAAAAAATACGTACTGATCACTTAAAAACTTCACGGGGTTCTCTGGTCGGTTCATCAGAAGCTTCAACAAAGCATCGCGAACTAAAGTGTTTGAGTCCGTCTTCTCTTAAACACAGATCTTTGCCATCTCTCTTTTCTAATATACCAAAAAGAAGATCAAAGATATACCTAGAGTAGACTTATAAAAAGAGACGTCTCGTTCAGTCATCTTTTCTTGCTATCTGAAGTTCGCCGACATAGAATCTAGAAAATTTATTTTGTAAGCAGCAATTGAAGATCCGTAATATCCATTTCGTTGTTAAAATTCATTTGAAAAATGAACTATGAAACGGACCCTTTCGGGTACTCGTTTAGAGGTATGATCCTAAAAATGCCTTTGTTACCAAGTAAAAGCCAATTAACCATAAAATAACTTGAATTGATAAAAAACCAACAAAATACCCAATTTTAAATAGTAGGTGTCTACTTTATGACTTGTCTACTTTTTGCTGTGTAAATGTTTGAGGGATCCATTGAGCAACCCTAGAAAACAAAATTCGAAAATATATTTTCGTGAATTTTTGAAAAAGACAATTTTTGAAAAAAAAACGGATTTTTTTAAAGTTAAAAAAAAAACATTTGCAATAAAGTTAACGTCCTGCCTTCCGATTTTTGCAATTTGAAAAAACTTGAGAAATCAACAAACAATTAATCAGTCTCCAACAAAGCGAAGCGCCTATAATAGCACCGGAATTCCAAATGCCAGCAACAAGAAAAAATATGACGAAAGTGCTACTGATGAGGCGTCTTGGTGGCGAAATTGTAGTAAGGAAGGTCGCAATATTAACATCTAATATTTCGTTGAATGAAACTGTAACAAGCATACAGCGAATCAAAGCCGAGAAAATTGAAAGAATGATATTCTTAACGATCAGGACGTAGATTTCCATGCTTACTCTGCCAAGAAAAAAAAACAGGCAAATTAAATATCGAAAAACAACACACTTAAACCGTTTTCTGACGGAAGGCTTACAAAGAAAATGAAGTTTCAAAAACCTTTTGGTCAATTTAAGCACGGAAGAAAAGGCCTAAAGAGTAGAAAAAAAAACAGAGGACTTGGTTGGAAGGAAGTTTTAGCAATTTTAATGTGCGAAAAACCTGATATTTTTTAAGTTAATACTTTTAGCATATAAAATCCAGCCATTTAGCAATCACTTATCAAAGTGCCTAAAAATCACAAATTCGCAGTTCAAATCGTAGATCTCTCCCTAGCAACTTGGTTTCAGCACTCGGGGAAGTTGGTTTCGGCAGTTCGAGCGTTCATCAAAAGCGCTAGAGAAACCGAGGTTCTGCTTTAGGTTGACTTCAGCAACGCGCGAAACAGCGTCAGGAGAGACTATGTTGCTGAAATTCTTGCCGAAGAAATTCATGAGCTTCTTCCATTCTAATGACTTTGTTTAAATCAAGGAAGTTTCTTCCTTCTGTGATAGTCTCATAGTCTCCGAAGAGGGATTCCAACAAGGGGATCCGCTAGCTGTGTTTTTATTCTGTCTGTCTATCCACAAACTTATTGTCAAACTAAAGGCCAGATTGAGAATTACCTATATTGCCAACATAACTAAAGGCGACGACTGGAAAACTGTGCTTGAGGATCTCCGTCTTGTCATTTATGAGAACGAGACGGTTGTCCTCGAACGACGAAAAGTAAGAATTTATCTTCTTCAGTTCTAAGGACGAGTTCCCCACCAGAATTACCAACGAGTTCAGGTAATGACCATATCGTTGTTGAATTTCATTTGAAAAAAGAACTATGAAACGGACCCATTCGGGTACTCGTTTAGAGGTATGGTCCCACAAATGCCTTTGTTACCAAGTAAAAGCCAATTAACTATAAAATAACTTGAATTGATAAAAAACCAACAAAATACCCAATTTTAAATAGTAGGTGTCTACTTTATGACTTGTCTACTTTTTGCTGTGTAAATGTTTGAGGGATCCATTGAGCAACCTTAGAGAACAAAATTCGAAAAAAATATTTTAGTGAATTTTTGAAAAAGACAATTTTTGAAGAAAAAAAAACAGATTTTTTTAAACTTAAAAAAAAACATTTGCAAAAAATTAACGTCCTGCCTTCCGATTTTTGCAACTTGAAAAAACATGGGAAATCAACAAACAATTAATCAGTCTCCGAGAAAGCGAAGCGGAACGGAATTCCAAACCGGAATTCAAAATGCCAGCAACATGAAAAAAATTCCGGTTTGGAATTCCGGTTATAGTACCGGAATTCCAAATGCCAGCAACAAGAAAAAATATGACGAAAGTGCTACTGATGAGGCGTCTTGGTGGCGAAATTGTAGGAAGGAAGGTCGCAATATTAACATCTAATATTTCGTTGAATGAAACTGTAACAAACATTGCAGCGAATCCAAGCCGAGAAAATTAAAAGGATGATATTCTCAAGGATCAGGTCGTAGATTTCCATTCTTACTCTGCCAAGAAAAAAAACAGGCAAATTAAATATCGAAAAACAACACACTTAAACCGTTTTCTGACGAAAGGCTTACAAAAGAAAATGAAATTTCAACAACCTTTTGGTCAATTTAAGCACGGAAGAAAGTGCCTAAAGAATAGAAAAAATACAGAGGACTTGGTTGGAGGGAAGTTTTAGCAACTTTAATGTGCGAAAAACCTGATATTTTTTGTTAATACTTTTAGCATATAAAATCCAGCCATTTAGCATTCACTTATCAAAGTGCCTAAATATCACAATTTCGCAGTTCAAATCGTACTTCTCTCCCTTGCAAATTGGTTTCGGCACTCGTGGAAGTTGGTTTCGGCAGTTCGAGCGTTCATCAAAAGCGCTAGAGAAACCGAGGTTCTGCTTTAGGTTGACTTCAGCAAAGCGCGAAACAGCGTCAGGAGAGACTATGTTGCTGAAATTCTTGCCGAAGAAATTCATGAGCTTCTTCCATTCTAATGACTTTGTTTAAATCAAGGAAGTTTCTTCCTTCTGTGATAGTCTCATAGTCTCCGAAGAGGGATTCCAACAAGGGGATCCGCTAGCTGTGTTTTTATTCTGTCTGTCTATCCACAAACTTATTGTCAAACTAAAGGCCAGATTGAGAATTACCTATATTGCCAACATAACTAAAGGCGACGACTGGAAAACTGTGCTTGAGGATCTCCGTCTTGTCATTTATGAGAACGAGACGGTTGTCCTCGAACGACGAAAAGTAAGAATTTATCTTCTTCAGTTCTAAGGACGAGTTCCCCACCAGAATTACCAACGAGTTCAGGTAATGACCATATCGTTGTTGAATTTCATTTGAAAAAAGAACTATGAAACGGACCCATTCGGGTACTCGTTTAGAGGTATGGTCCCACAAATGCCTTTGTTACCAAGTAAAAGCCAATTAACTATAAAATAACTTGAATTGATAAAAAACCAACAAAATACCCAATTTTAAATAGTAGGTGTCTACTTTATGACTTGTCTACTTTTTGCTGTGTAAATGTTTGAGGGATCCATTGAGCAACCTTAGAGAACAAAATTCGAAAAAAATATTTTAGTGAATTTTTGAAAAAGACAATTTTTGAAGAAAAAAAACAGATTTTTTTAAACTTAAAAAAAACATTTGCAAAAAATTAACGTCCTGCCTTCCGATTTTTGCAACTTGAAAAAACATGGGAAATCAACAAACAATTAATCAGTCTCCGAGAAAGCGAAGCGGAACGGAATTCCAAACCGGAATTCAAAATGCCAGCAACAAGAAAAAAATTCCGGTTTGGAATTCCGGTTATAGTACCGGAATTCCAAATGCCAGCAACAAGAAAAAATATGACGAAAGTGCTACTGATGAGGCGTCTTGGTGGCGAAATTGTAGGAAGGAAGGTCGCAATATTAACATCTAATATTTCGTTGAATGAAACTGTAACAAACATTGCAGCGAATCCAAGCCGAGAAAATTAAAAGGATGATATTCTCAAGGATCAGGTCGTAGATTTCCATTCTTACTCTGCCAAGAAAAAAAACAGGCAAATTAAATATCGAAAAACAACACACTTAAACCGTTTTCTGACGAAAGGCTTACAAAAGAAAATGAAATTTCAACAACCTTTTGGTCAATTTAAGCACGGAAGAAAGTGCCTAAAGAATAGAAAAAATACAGAGGACTTGGTTGGAGGGAAGTTTTAGCAACTTTAATGTGCGAAAAACCTGATATTTTTTGTTAATACTTTTAGCATATAAAATCCAGCCATTTAGCATTCACTTATCAAAGTGCCTAAATATCACAATTTCGCAGTTCAAATCGTACTTCTCTCCCTTGCAAATTGGTTTCGGCACTCGTGGAAGTTGGTTTCGGCAGTTCGAGCGTTCATCAAAAGCGCTAGAGAAACCGAGGTTCTGCCTTAGGTTGACTTCAGCAAAGCGCGAAACAGCGTCAGGAGAGACTATGTTGCTGAAATTCTTGCGGAAGAAATTCATGAGCTTCTTCCATTCTAATGACTTTGTTTAAATCAAGGAAGTTTCTTCCTTCTGTGATAGTCTCAGAGTCTCCGAAGAGGGATTCCAACAAGGGGATCCGCTAGCTGTGTTTTTATTCTGTCTGTCTATCCACAAACTTATTGTCAAACTAAAGGCCAGATTGAGAATTACCTATATTGCCAACATAACTAAAGGCGACGACTGGAAAACTGTGCTTGAGGATCTCCGTCTTGTCATTTATGAGAACGAGACGGTTGTCCTCGAACGACGAAAAGTAAGAATTTATCTTCTTCAGTTCTAAGGACGAGTTCCCCACCAGAATTACCAACGAGTTCAGGTAATGACCATATCGTTGTTGAATTTCATTTGAAAAAAGAACTATGAAACGGACCCATTCGGGTACTCGTTTAGAGGTATGGTCCCAAAAATGCCTTTGTTACCAAGTAAAAGCCAATTAACTATAAAATAACTTGAATTGATAAAAAACCAACAAAATACCCAATTTTAAATAGTAGGTGTCTACTTTATGACTTGTCTACTTTTTGCTGTGTAAATGTTTGAGGGATCCATTGAGCAACCTTAGAGAACAAAATTCGAAAAAATATTTTAGTGAATTTTTGAAAAAGACAATTTTTGAAAAAAACAGATTTTTTTAAACTTAAAAAAAACATTTGCAAAAAAATAACGTCCTGCCTTCCGATTTTGCAACTTGAAAAAACATGGGAAATCAACAAACAATTAATCAGTCTCCGAGAAAGCGAAGCGGAACGGAATTCCAAACCGGAATTCCAAATGCCAGCAACAAGAAAAAAATTCCG